TTTAGTTGAGTATTGCAAAATTTCACATTTGGGTTAACTTTAGGTTAACAGATAACTTGCATTACTTTAATTTTTTTTACCTAACTTTACTACTTTGTATGTACCTTTGCTGATTTACACTGAGAAAAGTGACAACATTATGAAGATGTTTCGTATACCTTACCTGATGTATTCACTAAAGTGTGTACATTATTTATCTTGATTTTCATAATTTATCTTCTATATTATTATTATATATCTTTATTCACTAGTCAAGTGAATGTGTTATTTATCGTTTAATACATATTTACCTTTGATTTGAAATGGTTCACCGTTACTTAGTTATGATATATGCAAATATAGTTCAATGATCATTCTTTCTAGTTTACCTTACATTACCTTACCTACCTTTATTTACCTTCATTTACCTTTATCTTATCTTTCCTTTATTGTGACTTTTGTATGGTATAATAGTGCAGATTTAAATTTAAAATCAATTTTTTGTGACATTTGTATGGTATAAGAGTGCAGATTTAAATTTAGAATCTATTTTTCATTTTAATCAAAATTTTCTTAAACAAGCACTTAAAGCTAAAGTAGTTAATCTTCTTAGTTTAAGTTATAAATCTTTAGTTTTAAGGACTATACTCAAAATTTCAGTAGTCTTCCTTATTTTTTTTTGGGGAGCATCACTAAATAACCAAAGATGTGTCTTAAGTCTCTTTTTTCTATGTGTTTAAAATCAATTTTTTTTAACAAGCACTCAAAAACTAAAGTAGTAAATCTTCCTGGTTTAAGTTGTAAATCTTTAGTCTTTAAGGGCTACAGTAAAAATTTCAATTGTTTTCTAAAAACTTTTTTATTATTAAGTCTTAGTTGTAAGTTTATCAACCTCTTTCTATTTTGGAAGCTTTACTAAATACCAAAATATGTGTCTAAAGTCCCTTTATTTGTGTATAAAAATTTTCAGTTTGTTTTTTCTCTTTTTTGTTATACATGAATATTTAGTAATCTGAGTATTTACTATTCTCTACCTTACCTTTATCTTATATATGTATGGTTTAATTTGAACTATTATCTTACCGATGCTTGATTACAATTTTATGTGGTTCAAGTTCTAATAAGAACAAACATGCATATATTATATAATGCTACTTTACTAATTTTCTTATCTTTGTATACTAATCTAATAGGAAGTATATATTTTCTTATTTTTCCTTTGTTAACATTTTTTTTACAGCAAGTAGTGTATTATCATCAAACACTCCATGAAAGCAGAGACTGCGACTGAAGATAGCAACGTTAAGGAAACGTTTTTTTATTGCAAAAAAGAAGAAAAATCCAACCTCCGAATATACATTGAAAGATTTTCATGCTATGTGCAAGCAATTTTTAAAAAAATCCTTTGCAGATATTGTAATTTCGCAGAGCTTATTACATAGGAAAAAGCCAAAGGCTAGAAGATACTCTGATGAGTATAAAAAGTTTTCTTTAACACTAAATTTCTTGGGACCCAGAGCGTATAATTTTATGGTTAAAATATTATACCTACCAACAAAACGCACCCTACAAAAAATGTCAGAAAATCTTATTTGTCATCCAGGTTTAAATAATAATAAAATATGTCATTGGTGTGTGATCCTTTTTTTAGACAATATAAGTCTAATTAAAGATGTACGTAATTTGAGTAGGCATAGTTTCTCAACTGTTTTTTTACCGTTTTTATAAGATATTTATGTAATATTATCAGGTATTTATTTGTTTCACTATTGTTTTTTAATTTCATTTTTAGTTTTATTGTTAATCTAGATGTACGTTCATTGCTATTATTAATAAGTGATAAATAAATCCCGCTTATTGGTATTATAAATTATTATTAATAATAAGTATCCTTATTGCATATGTAATAAAATAAATGCATAGATTGAAAACTTATCAATTGCATAAATACACGTTTTTTATTTTTCTTTTTTTTTTTATTTATAAAATCCCTAAAATACGCTTAGGTAATGATTTTTTAACAATTATCTCAATACCTTCTGATTGGTGATTTTTTAAACGATAGCTCTTGAAGAAGCTTACGGAAACCAATTCGCTAGTTTTCCCGTAACACATTTTTTTACGCCCATGTCAGTAAACGTTACAAATCGCACTGTCAACATTCCTTGTAAATGACATTTAACAATAACATATATAATGAGATCTCATAACGTAGGTAAAGTTGAGAAATAATTCGGATACAATTATATTGTTACGCAGCACGTTACATGTTAATTTTATCAGTTGTAAAGTTATTGTGTCAGTTGAATTGAATTATTGTAAAGTTGAACTGAAATAAATTGTGATACCAAAAACCAGTGTAACAATATTTTGTTACAAAAATTGATAATATAAATGGCATGACGTTTACTTCCATAGCACGCTAAGAAAACGCGTCATATTTTTTGAAAAATTGTATATGTTGCTGACATTTAGGGGCATCACTCTTTTAATCCAAAATGTATCTCGCTAATGCTAAAAATTTTTGTTTTTTAAATGACTAAATTTATGTAAATAGACCAAATAAAGTCGTACGTAGACAAACATTTGATTGCAATTTGATTAAACCAAGAAATTTAAGTTTTCTTATCAAAACTCACGTGTATGATATGAGCTCTCATTACGTGCATGTTATTGTTTAATGTCATTTACAAGGAATGTTGACAGTGCGATTTTAATGTTTACTGACATGAGCGTAGAAAAAATATTATTACAATGCATATGGAGAGTTACGATAGTGTGAAAATTATACTGAAATAGTTAAAATTTACAGAACATAATTAGCCAGTAATAGACGATTTTAAGATGCTTGGTTTTCTAATGGGAATGAAAGGTGGGTATATGGGATAGCACAGCAGATTCATTACATTACTAACGGCGTATATGGCCTGATCAAATCGATTTCAGATAGGAAAATATAATGTCAAGTCGAAACCAATTGTAGAGCCTAAGAATATATTGATGCCGCCGTTACATATAAAAGTGAGTGAAAATATTAAATAATTAGAGAGTTCATCGTTAACTTTTACTATAAATGAAGCAGACATTTATAAAGAGTGCACTAACACCTAATATATAAAATGTTTGCTACAGTGGATTATAATTTACTGAATCAAATTCTCTATAACAGCGACGAATAGTTGACTTTTTTATGAACGCCAAGTTGTAGTTGGATAATGAAGTTAAACGACTTATGAAAACCTGACTGACATTTCGGTAAAATATTTTTGGCTATCTCCCTAGACCAAAAATCCGCGACTATTTCTCTAGAGAAATAGACAATATTTGGTCTAGTGAAATAGTCGTCCCAAATATAACACGACCCTGATTAATATTCGGCTATTTTTGTTGTTGCTAAATTTCTCGAGCATTCTACAATTTAATTCTACATAATTTTAGCATTGATAATCAATTGATTAAAGCCCACGAGCTAAAGCTCTTGGGCTTGCTAAAAATTATGTCTCATTAAATTGATATTAAAAAATTCTCGAGATTTAGATTCAACAAAAATAGCCGACTATTATCAAGGTATATTACCCTTGATTATACCATACATTTTAGGAACATTAATACGCCGTAGGCGGAGTGCTCAATAATCTAAATTCAATGTGGGCAATCCACTCGAGTTGTGCAGTATATTTTTTCTACGACCCACTCAAAAATTTACAAATAAAAAATATATTTTAGGTTATTAAGACAAAATAAGTAATTTTATAATAATTTGTGACTTTTAATAATTTTTAAAATAAAATAAACAAAAAAAAAGAAAAAGGTTCATTTCATTTTACCCCCCCCCATCCGAGAATCGAACTCCAGTCTTCCGCGTGGAAGGCAAGAACACTAATCACAGGACCACCTATTCTTTTATTTTTGATGCTTTAATACTCGTAATTAAATTGACTACATATAGTTTTATTTAAATTAACAAATTATATATAATTATAGACGAAATAAAATGTATTTATCAATTCTACATAAGAATAACTCAACTTAATGTATGTTTAATCTCAATAACTAAAAAATATACTGACAATTATATTTAAAATTTAAAAATAATAGCAGTCGGTTGATCAAAATATGAACGATTATTGGTGGATTTAATTTTTTTGCAGTGTTCTCACTACCTAGAAGGGATATGAAATATAGTCGTTCAGTTGAAGGCAATAGCATACTTTTTCGTTTTGTAATCTGTGCGTAGATAAGCTAATATTCATGTGGGTGTAGAAAAAACTTTTTTTTTATGGTTCGGACTCCTTATTTGTGAATTTCCATTTTTAATATTCAATATTCTTGTTTTTTTTTAAACCACTACTTGTTTGCTTTAATATTATTTGATGCAGTATTAAGTATTATTTAATTTAATGTATTGTATAATTATTTAAAATAATTAAGAAATAATTACTATTTATATAGAACAAAATCTAAATAATTACAGAATAATAGGCACATTAAAAAAATAAACAAAATAATACTTAAGGATCTATTAAATAATATTAAAATAAACTAAAACTGAGGAAGTTACGAAACAACAGACAATTACTTTACAAATTATAAAAATAAACTGTAGTTTTATTTGTAAAACAAAAAACCAACACCTAAATATGTCAAAAACAAAAATATTCAATAAGTATACTGAGTTTCTTGATTGTTTCTTTACTAAGCTAGAAACGATTTTTTCAAGCAATTTGATAACGTGTTAAGTTTAACTCGAATGATTTTGGTGATTTCGAGTGAAACAGTACCAATATTTCGGGAATAGTTCACCCCTCGGTTTAAATTTTTTGAGAACAAGATTAAAAGCAAAGTATTGGTAACAAGCTTCGTTGAAGGTTAAATTTAAGTTATTTTTTTAAATAATTAACGGAGAAAAATTAACTTCTTATTTAAGTATCACTTTTACTTCCTATAAAACAATATACCTACTGTTTTCAACACCTTTAAAATTTTAAACATTATTATTAAAAATTATATTTATGTCTTACATTATATTTAAACATCAGGTTATTGCTCCAACAGTCACCATGTAGAATAACAGATTTTGAACCTTCGTAAATCATACAATTTTCATAAATATGAACGGATTGGTCAAAATACTTCTGAAGTTTTCCAACAATTTCTTCATCTTGATTTTCAAAAAATCGTGTCACTTTTCTAAAAAAACTTTTTATGTAGCCACCCAAGAAGTTCTTACTAAATAGTAAATTACTATGATGTAATGGTTCGGTCAATTCAAAGAATTTTTCATAATTGTGATGTTTGAATGCAAAAGAAAGAGCATGAAAATCTGCATATAATTTAAAAATCTTTTCAAAAGTTTTTATTTCAAATGGGGCAGACTTTTGTGGAACTTCATAATTTTTATACTTCAAATTTTGTAAAATAATTTTTTCATTGCCTTTATCTGAACATGTTGCTAAAAGTTTTGGAAAATTATCAAAAATTTTAACCCCTGAGAAAGTTTTTTGAAAAGTTTGTAATATTGGAAATATTTCTCTGTAGTAATGTATTTCGTTTAAAAACGACGTAGACATCAGTTCTTTAGTACTGTCTTTTTCGCCGAACTGAACTTTTTTGATAACCAAGTGAAAAAATTCACCAGATATTTTATCGTTTAAAGATATAAAACTAATATCGCTCAGGAAACCTTCGCCTTTTTTGTTTCCATCGTGAACTATCACTGCACAATTTTCAAGTTTGTCATTTACAACATTTTCTACTAAATTCACTAAATCTTGCTCAAATTTATAAACCATCATATAACTAGTACCAACGAACATCGACTGAATGAAAATTTAAAAAAAATATATATTAATGTGACCCACAAAATAAATAATTATCAATGAAGATTATACGAGGACCGGTTTTAAAGAAATAGTGTCGTACTGCTAAATTAAATATTGTGGTAAAGTCATTTACTTTGAATATTTGTTTTCCATTACTAACGTAATTTTGAAAATATTTAAATATCTATAGTGTACGCAAAGATTAATAGTTAACAATGTGAAATACGTTATTGAGGCCAATAAAAATCTTTAGATATGGTTTCTCCTTATCAAGAACCTTTTTGATTTTTTCGGTAAAAGTTAATATTACATCTTTCAATGCGCTTTCTTTGAAATAAGTTTAAATACTCCTGAACAAAAGTAACGGAACTAATCGGAAAATTATTAATTATGGTCCACACTGGTAAAATTTGTATTTTTTTCAAACAAATTATTTATTTGTCCAATATTTATTGGTAATTAATTGTTTAAAATACTTTAAAGCATTTGTTTTTTTTTGTAAACTTACTTGCAATTAAATATCACAAGCTTTAAAATAAATACCTTAGCAGCAAACAGTCAAAATATTAATACCGAATGATAAAATTGATTCCAAGAACATAGATTAAACAAATTTAAGCAATAAATTAAATACATCGCTGTTTTAGTAGTCAAATAATAAAATTGGTAGATACTTAATAATAATTTTCTTAAATTAAATACCTTTTGCTCCTAAACACAAAACTAATTTGTGCAACAGGAGTACCTAGGTCTCACTTTTGACAGTAAGTTAACATTCAGTTCATACATAGAAGACAGTAGAAAAAGCATACATTGTCTATGAACAACTCTGCTGAACCGTGGGGTATTTTCACCAAAGTCGTCACATGGACTTACATGGCCATCATTAACCTGACAGGATCTGGAGAGGCGAAACGTCGCTTTTGGCTGGTAGCGCTCGATATGATTCCACTGATTTAAATGATCATGGACCTTATTTTACCAAGATATATTTTTCAAATGCCATATAAAGTTATAACGAAATAAATAGAAGAGTTGGAATTGGCAGTTATGATTCATATCTAAATCAAAACATGGCTCAGGATGTACAATACACTTAAAGGTACCGTTGGATGGTCGTTTCCGAGACATACTGCAACTACCGGCTGCAGATGCAAGATTGACACAACAACAAACACCCAGAGGGCTTCGTTCGTATGATGCGGCATATCAATGCTTATTTTACTATTGAGAAAGGTGTTTACCTAAAGGTACTTGGTCGATGGTATGCTGCAGCTGCAAGCGGCAGAGACAAGAAAGTGGAAAAATCACTACCGTTCTAATGAACAATGAAATAAATGAGATACAGTTTAATACAGAAGCAGAATAGTAGTCAGCAGCAACTAGTTTAATAAACATCCTGCACTGTCTCCTAAATTGAACGACATCTTCATTACTTTTATAAGAACGGTAGTGTCTTTACTTTTCTTATTTTTCCTGCAGCGACCATCGAACAAGTACCTGTAAAAAATATATTGAAGCTGCAAATGAACGAAACAAATGGGCATATACACTATCATTTTAATGAAATTAAATAAGATGGAGTTTAATGCACGAGTCAGCAGGTTTGTTCCAACAACAATCTTGGAACCATACATAAACCAGTCCACAACTTATTGTCGACGACTCAAGTCGACGACCTGTCCACGACCTGTCGTGTATTGGGACTGAATTCGGAACTTGGATGTGTTGGAACACATTTTTCTGTTGTCAGACACATTAAAATAATAAGACTATAAATAATAAGCTATCAAAACAAATATAATCATGAAATTTCCAGAGTTGGTCGTGGTTTATTTACGAGCTTAGTTTCGTTTTGCACATATCTTGACAAATCGTTCATATTCAGACCCAGGAACTGATTTGACAGTACAGAAACTGGTTTGTGATTAGGTTTGGGTGTGTTGGAACACTAGGTTTTTGTACAGTTTTGAGTCCGAAGTTTGTTGGAACACCAAATCAAGACTGCGCAGAATTCCGACAGTACGTAAACCGATTTTCTATTGTGTTGGAACAAACCTAGCAGCAACTAGCTTGATAAGTGTCTAGCCCTGTCTTGGTCACGTGGGCGCGCGTCTGCATCAGTATCTGTGTTGCGGCAGTTCGTAACGTGACGGCAGTTGTTGAGATAAGACTCTAAATACCTTTCTCAAAATCAAAAGAAGCATTGAGCTATCGCATGCTACGAACGCGCCCTCTGGGTATATTCTGCGGTTGTCTCTGTCGCTTGTCTCTTGACTGAGCTGCCTGCAGTTGCAGCATGTCTCGGCAGCGACAACCAACCAGATAACACACGTCAATCCATTTGAAATGTCCATCGAAAGTCCATTGATGCACATATCGGCTGTCTAAAGGACATCCAGCATTTTACCGAAGAACATCCAATGGACATTCGTTGGACAATACAAATATCCCCCCACTCCTGGACGTCCATTTGGCATCCATGAAAGGTCCATACAGTATGGTTCAAATGAAAGGAATAAATTCATTATAATGGAAGTAACTGGTTTTTCGAAAAAATGCTCGGACAGGTCAATTTTGTTTACTCAAAGCGCAATTTTTTAAATAGAATTCAATTTTCCCCCACTTCCCATTTTTGGGCAGTGACATCATTGACAATTTTTTTAAATAGTAACCTCCATTTTTTTTTCTTGATTTTGATAGATCTTGCAATTTCCTATTTGGAAACATAATATTTGAAATATCTTACATAACAATTTTTTTTGAATAGAAGACATTTAAAGATCAGACACATAAATTTTATTTTATTTTGAGAACACAATAAATGAATAAAAGATAATTATTTGTAATTAAATGCATAATCTAACAAAATAATAATAATAAAAATAACAATAATAAAAATAACAATAATAAAAATAACAATAATAAAAAGAATTTGTAAAATTGTCATTAAATTCTTTTTATTATTATTATTATTATTATTAATATTATTATTATTTTTTTAGATTAAGCACTTAATTACAAATATTTATCTTTTATTCATTTATTGTGTTTCAAAATAAAATAAAATTTATGTATTTGATCTTTAAATGACTTTCTTTCAAAAAAAATTGTTCTCAGATATTTCAAATATTATGTTTCCAAGTAGGAAATTGCAAGATCTATCAAAATAAAAAAAAAAAAATTGGGGTTGCTATTTAAAAAAATTGTCAATGACGTCACTGCCCAAAAATGGGAAGTAGGGGAAAATTGAATTTTATTTAAAAAATTGCGCTTTAAGTAAACAAAATTGACCTGTCCGAGCATTTTTTCGAAAAACCAACTAGTTCCATTATAATGAATTTATTCCTTTCATTTGAACTATACTATATATGGACTCTTTTTGTATTGCTTTTGGACAATTTATGGACACCTGAGGGACATTAATAAGAAATAAAATAATTGCAACCATGGACATATTTTATTGTAATAAATAATATCAAGCATATATGGTTTTATACGCACTCCTTTCTGTCGACCTTTTAAACCAGTTTTTTTATAGCTATTTTGCTTACTTTTTAAGCAGCACACCATTGTCGCTCTAAGCATCAGCTAAAAGAAAGAAATTCTATTTTATACGAATATTGAGTCTTAAACGGCTGATCAGGCAAAATTGATAGTCAAAACTGTAAAACTTTTAAATACAATTTTTTTAACATTTACTAATATGAAAATATACACTGACTAATATACTTTACCCCTATACTTAAAAAAAAAAACAAAATGTTTCTTTAAATGATCATTTTAATTTCATACCATCATACCATCATATTCTTTTACGAGGGTATTAGAAAGTATGGCTACAAAACTTCTTTTTATAATTAAAATAACCAAAAAAGGTTGACAGCTGTGTGCACGTAGTTTAGATTCAAAAGGAAAAACTTGTATTTCGTGCAAAACTTTTTTATTAATCAATGCAAAGCGCTTTCGGCTTATTTGCCATCATCAGTGCTCATCTACAAAAATTGTGGATGTAAACTTACAATTTAAAAAGATTTTAAAAAATATATTATAAAATCTGAATTAGACTTTTAAGTCAAAAGTTAAAATAGTATATATACAATTGTTTGAACAAATTAAAAATTACAAGAAACAAACAAAGTGACAAAAAACTGGTATTGGGAATAGTGAGTGTGGGATAACCCTTACAAATCAAATCTGATCTCCAGAAGCAAGTTAGCTTGTGTGGAATTAAGGAATCATGCCACCCTCACTATTCACAAAATTGGAAAAAGGTTGAAAAATTAGTTAAAATTTAAAGAAATTTACAATTAGAGGGTGACTGTGGAAGATATATTGAAATTTGAATCTAGAATACAATATTTGATATGAAGAAAGTAAAACGCAGAAGGCCAAAGTAAAAAAACTGAAGGTTTTTTTTTTATATATTTTATATACATTATAATTATGAAAAAGTCTACCTACTGTCCACAACGTATCCAACAAGTTCCTGGTCATCCTCACTCCCAAAATTATATATTTCGGGATATTTACAATATTGCTAAATCAAAATTTTATTAATATTAATATTTTCAAATTTAAATTTCTCTCTTCATTTTAGTTCAAGTTGTTTAACCGTTTCCACATGACAGTGGTGACAAGCGACACTTGAAGACTTTGACTTGTCAAATGTCAACAGAAGGAGGTGCGTTCACCTCAGTGTGGAACATGTTTCTCCGAGTGTGATTCGAGTGATTGGAGGTTAACGGAGATCAAAAATTTTGTTATTGAATTTAAAGATTTAATTTATTGTTAGTTAAATTTAAATAAATGTTTAATATAAATGATATTATTATTTTGATGTCAAGACAAAACAAAAATGTCACTCGCGTGATTCTGATGTGCCAGCCCGGGCTCTGCAGAACATTCTTTCAGAGAACCCAAGATGGCACAACTGAACCCGCGGTCCCTAAAGGTGAATCTGATGTTTAGTCCTAAAAATTACTAAATCACTCAACAAGCGTACTCATGGTTAAAAGAGACAAAATAGAGAACAAAAAAGTTTTAAACAAAGGAGTAACATGGTCCCAAAGGTAGGCTCTGATGGGTGAAATC